TTTGAGGGAGTACTTTTGTTAAACTTCCTAGTTCCTACCCTAGATTTAATGGGACTTCGTAAAATTGGAGGTAGGACTGTAGGAGGGTAATTTTAAAGAGAAAGCATCAATGACTTGTTGCATGACACACGTGACACGTTTATTGTATCTAGAGTATTTAAAAGACTAAAGGAGGCATTAGATAGTCCCATAATATGAACAAATAGTTTGTTTCCTAAGCTAATGATATTTAACATGTATTATAATAGTTGCTTAATGTTAGTTTTGATGCTACTAAACTCATATATGAATGTATGCTTATATCTTCTAATTAAGTATTAGGAATATATGCGCTCGAGGAGTATATAGTTTTCTCTTGTATTAATGGTTATCATTTTTTAATCACGATAAAATTCAGGTATACAAAAGTTTACTCATCTTCCATCCTGTACTAAACTTTTCATGAGTTCTAATGGATCATATATATTTTAAAATATGGACTATGTGTGTGTGAACATATCTATTTGATAATAAGAAAAAATAAAAATAAAATAAAATAGGTGCATGTATATTACGTTGAGTATGAATAATTTCAAAAATTAAAAGTAACATCAATATTATTCAATGTGTTCTAATGGATCATATATATTTTAAAATATGGACTATGTGTGTGTGAACATATCTATTTGATAATAAGAAAAAATAAAAATAAAATAAAATAGGTGCATGTATATTACGTTGAGTATGAATAATTTCAAAAATTAAAAGTAACATCAATATTATTCAATGTGAGATTATTTGACATTTATATATTAAATTCGAATCAAGTGAATACCAATATTAAATTAACAAATTAAATTACAAATGAACTACGGATCGGAGTATATTTTATGTTTATTTTCATGGTTTTTTTTGCATTAACCGGATTGACCCATGACCCAATAATGCTATCATTACTGATACATGTGTTTAATTAGTATTATAGTTCGTGAATAATACAATAATACGTACATTTGTGTATAAAATGATAAAATTATATAAAATATGAATAAATATATGTTTCATACGTTCATGGAATAAATAAAGATATGACATGGTTTACACATTTCAAATTTAAAAATACGGCATATAATATGTGCCTTATATACTAATTTAATGATAGAATATGGTAAAACATTACCATGACTCAAAATTTAATACTACGTAATTAATAAAAGAACATGCAGAAAAGAGCCAAAACATATCGTTTTCAATAAATTCAAAATGTGTTTAGAATTTGATGGACAATATGTGAACATAATATTTATTTATTAAAATTATAAATAACATTAATAGATGTTTTAATTTTTTCACAAATACTCCATAATTTATCAGTATCATACTCCTATAATAACATCAATAAAAATACTCGTACTTATTATTATAACCACAAATTTACTTATATTTAAAAATATAAATTTAACTGAGTATAAATAAATGGCGAGGTAGTGGCAAGTGAATAGCGACAATCGACGATCTTCAATCAAGAGATTTCAAATTGATGCCAGAGTTGTTGTGAGGTTTCGAGAAAAAGCGGTCATCTCCCTACGATAGTTAGGGTTTCGTTTTTCCGCTTTCTTCATTGACGAAGAGTGGTCATCGGTCGATTTCGGTCGTGCAACCAGGCTCGGGACCAGTGATGCAATACTTTTGCGATCAGGGCTCGACTTCTGTTGTTGTTTCCGGTCGAAGGTCAAGTGTAGACAAAGAAAAGGCGGATAAGCTGTGGCGAATCTTGGATTCGATTCAGCAGCAAGGGATATCGATAGAGAATATCGTCAATCAATACAAAAACATGGCTATTGAGGCGGATGAGAGGCGGGCACGCCCCCCTCCCGAGCCGCCACCATGGAGTGCAAGAGAGTCTAGGTTTGGAATAAGATGAGTGAACTCTATTTTAATTCCGTTTTATTTTGTTTGTGTTTTTCTTTCGAATTGCATGTTGTTTTGGATGTATTTTTATTTCCTAGCAGAAAGATTCTAGAATTTAAGTCAGATGATGAGAAGTCTGGTTTGCCAGTCATTGGCCCAGTTAAGCCCATTACAGGATCATCGAATCTTATTGCTTCTTCAGAGGTGCCAGAGTTGTTGTGAGGTTTCCAGAAAAAGCGGTCATCTCCCTACGATAGTTAGGGTTTCGTTTTTCCGCTTTCGTCATTGACGAAGAGTGGTCATCGGTCGATTTCGGTCGTGCAAGCAAGCTCAGGCCAGTGATGCAATACTTTTGCGATCAGGGCTCGACTTCTGTTGTTGTTTCCGGTCGAAGGTCAAGTGTAGACAAAGAAAAGACGAATAAGCTGTGGCGGAGCTTGGATTCGATTCAGTAGCAAGGGATATCAATACAAAAACATGGCTATTGAGGCGGATGAGAGGCGGGCACGCCCCCTTCCCGAGCCGCCACCATGGAGTGCAAGAGAGTCTAGGTTTAGAATAAGATGAGTGAACTCTATTTTAATTCCGTTTTATTTTGTCTGTGTTTTTCTTTCGAATTGCATGTTGTTTTGGATGTGTTTTTATTTCCTAGCAGAAAGATTCTAAAATTTAAGTCAAGTGATGAGAAGCCTGGTTTGCCAGTCATTGGCTCAGTTAAGCCCATTACAGGATCATCGAATCTTATTGCTTCTTCAGAGGTGATAGATTCTAAGTCTGGTTCAAGGGCGGACTGCAGACAGAAGGCTTTTTATCATTTTGTTTTCTGCTTTTTCTTTGATTGTATTATTAGCCATGTGACGAACGTTTTCTTGATTTAATATATTTGTTGGTTTGATGATAATAAAAAATGGCGAGGTAAACTATTTAACACCAAACAAATATCTAACATACCTCAACCCTTGGTCCCGGGTTCGAATCCCCTAGGTGCCAATTTTTTTTTACCCAACAATTGGGTAAGCAGACAGATTTGGGGAGTTTCTATTATGCCCCTAGGTGACTTTCTATTAAATAACTTTGAAAAATCACTTCCTTTAAAAGTAAAAGCAGAAAAAATGACACTAATATTACAACTAATCTTTAAAATTCCAAAAATATGACTAATTATTTAATTTCCATAAAAGTGACTACTTAATTAATTCTCATATGGATGCCGTTTTATATAGCAAACGCGGTCATTAACTCCTACATGGTACGTATGATTCACAAATGGTAAGAATCATTAATTATATGGACAAATAATTAATTCTCATGTGCCGCTTAGCAAACAACTATTTTCAATTCCCATATGCCGTTTTTCTTCAAAAAAAAAAAAATCCCATATGCCGTTTCAGACTTCCTATATTTCCTAACAAGTAACAACCCTAAATACTAAAGTTCATAAGACTTGTGCACCGCTGGACAATTTATAATGTTAAAGCTTCAAATATTCCTGCAGCGCTACTTCACTCATGATGATATGATCGGAGATAATGGCGGGTGATGACGGCTCGATTGGTGGGGTGGGCGGGATTGGGGCTGTGGACCATGCAGATGGGCGGTGGTGGGGTGGGAAGTGTCTGGGGTTGTGGACCGTGCAGATGGAGGAGTGGTGGAGGCGTGGAGCGGTAGCGGTAGTGGTCTTTGGCCGGGGTGGCAGCGGCAGTGATCTTTGGTCGGGGCAACGACCACAATAATCTTTGGTTGGGGCGGCGACGGCAATCACAAGTCGGGGTGTCGGCGACAGCACTGCCCAGGGCTATCACTATTTGGTGGAGTCATTACTGTCGGCCATCAGTGACAACAACGGTGTTAACCGGCCGAGACAACAGTCACTAGTCGAGTTGGTCACTAATTGGTGGAGTCACTGCCGACAGGAAATCACAGCGGCGACGACAGTCATTGAGAAGGGCAGTGACTAGGGGTGGACCGGTTCCGGGCCAGGCCCGGTTCGGGCCTTGAACCGGCCGGGCCTCGGTTCAAGGTAGGGGAGGCCCGGAACCGGCCCGGAACCGGCCCGGGTAACCCCGGTTCCGATTCGGGCCGGGCCCGGTTTGGTTCTATATAATTTTTTTTTTGGGTTTTCCTAATCAACCCCCTACCCTCCCCCTCAACCCCAAACCACCCCAAACCACCTCAAATGGCCCAAAATACCCAATCCAACCCAAAAACTTAAAAAAAATCCAAAAGAAAAAAAAAATTAAATCCAGCCCGAACCGGCCGGACCGATTCACCAAAATGAAGGCCCGAGCCCGGAACCGGTAGCCACCGGGCCGGTTCCGGTTCGGGCCGCCCGGCCCGAGTCCAACCCTAGCAATGACTAATAATTGATGGAGTCAATGTCGACGAGTCACTAATTGGTGGAGTTACTCTTGCGGTGGTTGTCACTTTGGGACTTTGGGTGTGTATCGCTATAGGTGGTGATCACTTGAGTGGTGATCAAATATAATAAGTGTAACATTAAATAAGGTCAAAACTCAAAAGTGATATGGTAAGTCATTTTTTTGGAAAAATTTAAAACATGTCACATCTTTGTCTTTTGAATCTATTTGAGTAATATTGAAAAAAAGGCCCTAAAAGCAATCGCAAATACTCACTTATTATTCACTAGTTTATACCTAAAATACCCTAAAAGTAAAGTTCTCAAAATGGTCATTCTGATCTTTTGAAGTTAAACATTTAAAGCATAAATTGAAAGTAGAGGAAAGATGCTTAAAATTGTTTAACCTTTTTGTGAGAAATCCTTTATCTAAAATCTAGACATCAAGTTACAGTATGGGATATTCAATATTTCATGCATCACAAGGGTAATATACTAGAATCATTTCAAATATGCTTGTCATCTTTTCAAAATACTCATCTGACTTGTATTAACTGAGAAAGGACCTTTTAAAAAAACTGTGAATAGGAAGGTGGCATTGTGGCAAGTAATTAGTTTTGGATCATTAGCTCCCAAAGAGGTAAACCAGTGAGACTATCTACATATTTACTACTAGTACGAAGTATACAACTCCGACTGTAACTAGTAAGAGCTAGCATCTATAACTATTGATTCTTGAAGTGGAAAAATGATAAAACTTTTTTCAGTAACTTCTCACCAACGAGCCAAAGAGAATACTAAACGAATAGGGAAAATAGAAAACCCAAAGAATCTTATATTTTAAAGAAAAAAATGTCTGCAAAAGTAACATTTTCCTTTTGAATTCTGGGACAACATAATAGTACAGGTCAACACCTCTCAAGTCTCAACATAATGTTTAGGAGACAGTTCTAAACTGATAACTTGTGACAATGTCAAACAAAGCATTGTTAATTGCAATATATAAGTAAAAAGGAGTCATAATAGAAACGTTTTTACTTCTGCATTTTCCTAAGCTGCACCACCACCAGCCTTTCCTTTCTTCTTCTGAAGTTTCTTCATGTAAAACTCCAGCTCCTTGCCCTCCAAAATGTAACTGTAAAGCCCACGTGAACAAATTGTGAGAAGAACCTTTACGTCAATGATGATTAACACAACGTCCCACTTCAGCTATAGCATGAATTAATAGTATCTACTAAGCAAAGATACCAGGCCCAACATAAACTCAGACAATACGAAATAATTAAAATTTAACTTCATACAATTCAGATACAAGTCACAGACTCACAGGAAGCAGCATTGATATATTAAATTTTTAATCATGTGTCACATTAAAACTTTTGGGGATTGCTAGTCTTGCTACAAATCATGGCCTATTGGCCTACAATGAACCATGCAGATCCCTTTCAAGCTTACAATAAAAAACGTACTACGAATAAAGATTGTTTGCTAGAGTTTTGAAATTTGAAAACCTCATACAGAGTATATAATTTTGATGCAAAAGAACACACTCTAATAATGAGCTCAATTCTAAGATAGAGTCTAGCTAACTTTTCAAAATTGATAATCTGACAGCATACACAACAGGGAACCCCATATACCTGCAGTTTCATTTTAGCATGACAATTTAGAAATTAGAACAACACTAATTCAACTTCACTATGACTGCAAATGAGAATAGGTAAGCAAGCTTAGCAAAAGAATTAAAGACAAACCCATCAGCACGACCACACTGGCCAGGCCTTGAAGCAATTGCAGCTAACAAGCGGCCTCCTGCAAATTGCTCCTCGATATGTGGGTCAATTTTATGATCCTTTTGGCGCTGTTCCAATTTCCTCGCGACATGATTGCTTTTCTTCTCCTCAGGAGCAGCAGCCTCAGTGGTATCCTGAATAATAAACAGAAAAAAATATGAGTGAATTAATGTACATACAGGTTTACTACAAACTCACATTGATCCAACCAACCATCAGCGTGTACCTAGCATTTCTTTTACAAAATCAAATGTATCAGGAAATTAACAACTTAGAAACAAATTATAAGTCTTTTTCATGGAACTGGTTTTCAAGCAGTGAAAATGATCAAGTTTTAATAGTAGGGGCACCTCTCCTTCTTTTTTGGCAGCAGCAGTCTTCTTCTTGCGACCAACTTCAACTCCATAGTGCTGAAGATACCACTGCTTAAATGGTGCAGCATCCACTTGAACGATAGCACCCTTAACCAATGTCTGAGTCCTGACCAACTCATTGTTTGAGGCATTATAAACCACATCCAAAATCCTTGTCTTCCTGGTGAGAGCTTCACTTCCCCAAGAATAGTTCCCAGTATCCAATCTCAAGGCACGCCACTTCAAATTGCCCCCTCGAACCCTGACCCTTCGAACTGTTTTAGCATTTGGAACCAGTTTTGTGTTTGCAGGTTGTCTTCCGAGCTCATACCTTGCGAACAATAAATAAAAAAAATACTGGTGAATATAATATGCAGAAAGAAAACGTACACAAGCTAACACAATTGTGATTGTCTCGAATTCTCTAATGACAGTTGAATCATGTAATCGGCCCTTCAGTTTCATATTTTAATGTTAGTTACTTGAGCAGACTATACACAACCGCTAAAAAAAATCAGCACTGGCCGCAGCAAAGAGTATGAGAACAAAATTCCAATGTAAGAGGATCCAATTTCATTCACATACTTTCGCTTCTTCCTCCAGGCCTTCTTCTTACCACCAGTAGCTCGCCTTTTATGCATCGAATCCCGAGAGATACCTGTGACATCAGCATCATCGTCAGTCACATTGTTCGTTCAATTCTTAAATTCCGTTTTAGATAAGCGCATCAAAGAATAGAAAACGAATTAGATCGATACAAATTGAATTATCAGTACCCATAGCTGACGGAGAAAAAGTCTAAAGGTTGGTTTCTGACCGCCCCGGCGCGCGCGCGGTGAGTCTGGTCTGCGAACGAGGCCGGCCAGTTGGATTATAGAGATTTAGAGCTGAGGAAAACCCTAATGGATCATCCAAATAAATACTCTCTCTGGTCCCAAATGAATTTCACCTTATTTTTTGTCAGGTCCAAAATGAACTTTATACTTCTACTCTCTTCCTTATTTAAGGAATTATCTACATCAAAACAGTACCAAACAGTGCAAACAATGACAAACAGTGTCAACCAGTGGGCCAACAATGTACTTCATATGCTTTTGTCAGAAAATGAAAAAATGGGTTGGAGAGGTGAAAACGCCTCCATCCACAGAATTATTTGTAAGAGAAAAGTGGCAAATAGACCCCCGAACTATTTGCATATTTGTAACTGAGCCTTTTGCCTTGTTGACCTCACTAATGGACACTTTAAATCCGGAAAATTAATGTTATTGGCTCCTTTTGACATGTTCGGTTACATCCGGTGAGACTCTAATGACGCTAATGTGGAGTTGACATGAAATGAATGTGGATAAATAATATACATGTGGCTTATTTTGAATGTTCCTCAAAGCGGTGGGTCTGAACCTCAAACACTTAAACGTTTTTCTTCTTACACTTGCCTTGTTTTTTCGCAAAAGTGTTCGAACACTAACCACTATTGTGAACGAAGATCTTTTTTAAAATCAGACAAACCATCAAAATCAATGGGGTAAATATTGGGGAACATGTATTGAGTTTTATTAAAATAGAGAAGCGAATACAACAGGGGGACCAAACCTCTACCCGTAATAATTAATACAACGAAAACAAGATAAATTTAATGAATCACAAATAAAAGATTTTTTAACAAGATTATGAACATCACTTAAGTTAGAGAAAGTAATTAAAGAACCATCAACTGAATCAGGATAAAACTGAGAAGTGAAGTGTGTGGTTCTATTAGCCTCACGATAAATGTGTTGCAATGTAATATTATCCCTGCTTATGTCCGAACGCATACTAACCACTCTTGTGAACGGAGACATACTGTTGAAGCAAAGAACATCAGTTCGTAGTTAGTTTCTCTGACTAGGTGTGCTAGGAATCAGAAAGAATCTGTGCGGACGAGTACAGTTAGGATTTTTTGGAGGTAACTAGGTAAGTCATTCAGAGATTTGAAATTTCAAACATGAGTTCATTTAATTTTTTCCTTAAAAGTGTTCGTATAACGAGTGTTACTTAATACGAGTTAGGTTGTTTATTGCTAAAATAATGTTCGCTGACATGGATGAGTAGAAAGAATGGAGAAGTAGAAAGAATTGAGGTTGACGTAGATTACATCTCTTACCCTCACCTCCTTAAGTACATTAAGAAGGATAGATACTCCAACATTGTGACCCTTTATTATGAACCATGTCATGAACCCATGGAAGCTTTACGATTGTTGAGTGATGATTATAGTACTATACTTTTAATTGAGGAAGTTGCGAAATGGGGTGAGTTAGACATTTATGTGGAGCATGGGTTCGATGATGTTTCCCTTGTTTTGGAGTTGGAATTTGGTAAAGACAAAGAGCCTGGAAATGTAGGTAGTGTTGAGCAAGAGCATGTTGATGGTAGTGCCCCTAGTGGTGACCAAGAGGGTGTTGCTGGTACTCTACCTACTGCTGGGGAGATGATATTCATGATACCGCCCCTACTCCTGACCAAGAGGATGTTGATTGTAGTGTGCCTACTGCTGAGAAAGATGATATTCGTGGTACTGCCACCACTGCTGAACAACAGAATGTTGATGGTGCTCCTAGAGGTGTTGATGATGACAGACCTGAGAGTGATGATGATGATTATGAACCTGTTCAAGAGGAATATATCATCAGATGATGATGAGGAGGAGGAAGAGGAGGGGGAGGAGGCAAGTGATGTTGATGAACTATTATCAGGTGATCTTTTTGTAGGTGCAGACTCTGACAGTGAAAGCCCATAACGGGATCATGGCCCAATTACGAGATTATAATGAAAGCTCATAACGGGATCAACCCTCAACAGGATTAGCTTATAAGCAGGATTACCCCATAATGACAAATCAGCTGATTTTCGTGCTATCAAACATGCTCAGAGATTTAGAGCTGGGAAAAAACCCTAGCGGATCATCAAAATAAATACGCTTTTGTTCGATAACGAAAAATGGCCAAAGAGGTCTAGTATCCAGGAAATGGGCTGAAAAGGCCTCAATCCACAAAATTATTTGTAATAATAAGGGATTCTAAATGCGGGCCTCGTTTTTGCTAGGGGTTTTGACTTTTGACCTGAATCTATAAAAAAACTGCAACCTTGTGTGAATTTTAAGCTTTGTTATTTAGGTTTTTCTAATTTGAGTGACTTTTCCGATATTGTGAAATTCCATTTAGCTGCTCTATTACAAGTCATGTTACTTTTAATGTCAATTGAATGGTGAATATATATGTAACTATACATATAATCAATGGTGTATCCAGAAATTTCCGTCAGCGGGGGCGAACTCACATTGATTGTTTCTCGCATCTCATAAACAATAATGACATTAAAAAATAGTATAAATTCAATTATAAATAATAAAAAATTCGTGGGACAAAAAATATTACGATATCATAATAATTTTTTTCATGCATGATAAAACTTAACTGTGCAAAAATGTATTTTAATCACACATTACGTAAACAATAAAAATCAAATAAGGAATTAATCAAATATGTGTTTAGAACTAATTTAATTAAGTTGCAAAATTACAGGTATATTAAAAATCAATAATCCATACATGTTACGTGTAACAATGTACTCCCTTTGTCCCGTAGAAAGGTTCTCACACGATGTACGATGTTTGACTGACCATAAAGTAAATTGATACTTGTCTATAATAAGATTTTTTTGTAAAAAAACTATACTACGTATATTCAAAACATACATTTAAAGTTTTATGAAGTCGCAAAATTAAAAAAAATTGATAAAAATTAGATATATAGATCGAGTTAGAGATTAAGAAAACATTGCAGGGGGTGGGGGTCCACAATATGGATTTTAATAGATTTTAAAGGATTAAGATTTTGATGGATTTTTATGGAATTGTATAGAATCTGTGAGATTCTAATGAAATCCATGTGATTTGAAATCCAAAGAAAGAAAGGAGCAGTTATATGATTCTAATTGAAAAAGTAAAAAAAATTGGTATGATCGATTCTCATCAGCCTGACTTCAATAATTTCGACTTAAACGGCTTCAACCATTTTCAATGGATTGCCAACATAGGAGTCATCCTCGATGAGTCATCCTCCACTAAATGTGAGGTTGGCTAGATTGGAAAGACTTTAAAGAGATGAAACTTGAATGAGATGAAACAACGGTAGTTGATGAAGGTGGAAATAAAAGAAAAAATAGAGACAGTGGAAGTAAAGAAAAGGTGGTTGAAGAAGGTGGATGTAAAAAGAAAACAGAGAGTCGGAGACTGACGATAGAGCTATAATGGTGGTTGAAGAGATGACCGAACCCCGGACCACAGGAGAGCTGTAAAAAATAAATGAAAAACAGTGTGTGTATGATCTCGATGTCAAGCTTTCTTCATATTTTGTAGTTGCATTTAGTATATCTCGTTTAAGCGTTATCCCAACATTTGGTATCAGAGCAAGGTTAGTTTCCACCATGTCAAGAGACTCGAATGATGAAGGGTATTCACAAGAGAAGGTGACAGTTAATCTACGATATCCCATACTCACCAAAAGTAACTACACTGCTTGGGCCATCAAAATGGAGGTCTTTATGATGGCTCAAGGAGCGTGGGATGCATAAGAAGCACAAGAAGCTGTTGAGACACACAAAGATAAGATAGCGTTGCCAGCAATTTATCAAGGGATAAGTGAAGATACCCTACTACAACTTGGTGCAAAGCGAACGACCAAGGAAGCATGGATTATGCTGAAAAATATGAATCTTGGGGCTGATAAAGTGAAAGAGGTAAGGACTCAATCACTTTTGAGAGAATATTAGTCTAACAAAATGAATGAAGGAGAAAGCATTGATGAGTATTCTATCAAGATGCAAATAATTGTCACAAAGTTGAGAGGATTGAGAAATACAGTTGAAGAAGTTAAAGTAGTGAAAAAGCTTTTGAGATCTGTCACACCTAGATTCCTGCAACTTGCCTCTACCATTGAAGAATTTGGTGATTTGGAGGCCAAAACTTCAGATGCTCTAATAGGTTCCCTCAAAGCATTTGAAGAAAGAATGCAAGACTATGAATCAAAAGAAGAGGATACATTCCTTCTTACTCAAGCAAAGTGGAGAGCAAGAGAAGAGGGAGAATCATTCAGAAGAAATTCAAGAGATCATGGAAATAATAGAGGTGGAAGAGGACGTGGTAGAGGAAGAGGAAATAACTGGATTTCTAAATGAGAGGATGAACCACAACAGAAGAAGAAATTTGATAAGTCTAAAATCAAGTGTTATAATTGTGGGAAAATGGGACATTTTGCTTCAAAATGCAATTCAGAAGGAAAGGAGGAGCAAGCCAACATCACCGAACAAAAGGAGGAGGATGAAGAGCCATCTTTGTTGATGATTGAATCATGTGAGTTAACTCAAACTCATAATATGAAAGATAAGAAAGAGGAGAGGCAATCAAAATGGTACCTTGATACAGGAGCTAGTAATCATATGTCAGGAGATAAGACACATTTCACTGAAATGGACCAGTTGGTACAAGGGAAAGTAAAGTTTAGAGATGGCTTAATGATAAACATATATGGTCAAGGTTCTGTGATGTATCAATGAACCAATGGTGAGCATTTGGTTCTGACAAATGTATACTACATTCCAAGACTAAAGAGCAATATTATAAGCATTGGTCAATTTGATGAAAATGGAAATCAAGTTACAAATAAAGGGGGTGAACTGAAAATCCATGATAGTAGTGATAGACTACTGATCAAAGTGCATAGGAAACCAAACAAACTCTTTATAGCAACCCTGAAGACTGCAGAAAGAGTATGCTTACTCACAAGCATGCAAGATTTGCACACCTAAACTTTGAAGCACTCAAGAGGCTGTCAAGTCACAATATGGCAGATGGTATACCTGAAATATTTCAGGTAAACCAAGTGTGTGAAGGTTGTTTGGTGGGAAAACAACACAAAACTCCATATCTACAGAAGACACATTTCAGAGCTAAGAAGAAACTGGAATTAGTTCATGGGGATATCTGTGGACCTATATCACCATCAACTCAGGAGGTAACAACTATTTTATGCTACTTGTTGATGATTGCTCAAGGTTTATGTGGG